TGTGTGTGTGTGTGTGTGTGTGTGTGTGTGTGTGTGAGAGAGAGAGAGAGAGAGAGAGAGAGAGAGAGAGAGAGAGAGAGAGAGAGAGAGTGGCTGCCATGCGCTTAGCCATAGAGGTGCGCTGAAAAGATGCAGCCTACGGGTAGGGGCATATGGAATTTTTTTGTGCTGGTACTCAACAGCTATCCGGTAGGGACATACTGCAAATTTGGAACGGGTACTGGTAGGGGGATATCAAGAATATTTCAGGCCCAATGGACACCGGGGTCTTATGGGAAATTTGAATCGTGGTCAGAGGGGCGCGACAAGGTAGATCAGCCGCGGGAGGGGCGTGACACAAATAATGGAAGTAACAGGGGCGCCAGACAAAATTTTTCATTTTTTTTCACCAACAAAAAAAAAAAAGAGGTCGGGCCAGTCAGGTTTTTGTTTTTGTTTACCTCTTTTCAAAATGATTTTTTTCCCTTTTCTGGAGAGAAGGAAATTGTTAAATTGCCCCTGAAAGTTGGGGTTTGTTGTCAAATACCCCTAAAAGGCATGGGTATGTGGCTAAATGGCCCCATGACAGTCATGAAACTTTCCAAAATACCCCACTTGCCAAGTGGACCCGCCATCTTTTGCATATACCCCTACCAGGCCCTGCGCAACTTCTACATCTGCCCCTACATTTCTGTGCGAGGAATCGCTGTAGAGTCTAGGCCGTGGGCTCCCACAGCCCAAGGGGCCCCACACAGCCTTGTGCCCGCCCTAAGTGAAGGTGGGCCTGTATTTGCGAAACGAGGCCTATTCATTGTGGGCCAGACAGACAGTTACCACGCGGCAGTTGGTTACAGGGCCCGTCCTTTGTGAGCACAACATGTGGAGCCTCTCGGCTCACTCCAGCAGTGAGGTGGCCAGAGGCTCTCGGCCAATGAAAACACAGGGAGTAACGTGGCTGCCACTGGCTGGGCCTCTGTAGGCCAATGAGAATGCAGTGTGCAGCAGTAGCCACGCTGCACAGTTGGGCAGCCTCAATGCTGCGGGCCCAGGCAACTGTCTGCATGGGTCTGGGCATCGACACTTTGGCCCAATGTGAAGCTACTGGGCACACACACGCCAGGCCCAGCCCAGGCAGAGGCAGGGAAAGGAAAGTGAGCGCCCATCCAGAGGGGATTCTGGCCTGAGAAGACAGAGAAGCCACGCTGCTGCTTTGTCACGCGAGCACCCTGTGCTAGCGCTCGCCAGAGGGTGCATGTGGGCGCATGAGGTGAGAGGGGGCGCTGCGGTGGCAGTGGGCACACGCGGCCATAGCTGGGCTGCTGGGGCGCATGCCGGGGATGGTGATGGTGGTCTTTGGGAAGGGGAGGTGCATGCTGTGGGCAGTCAGGGGGTGATGAGGAGAGAAGAGGCACGTACCTGGTGTATGCCTGCAGTCTGCATTTGGCGGCAGTGTCACATACCTTGGTCTTCAGCTCAAAGTGACTCCTGTTGCAATACGCAGTGTAGGCTAGTCTCGGCTGAGTAGGATAGGCTGGGCGCAGAGCGCCAAACAAGACGGGCGACATTGGATAATATGTTGGTGTGGCGAGAGAGTGTGAACATTGACATTTGAGTTCATTCTATTGCTCTTATTTGGATGGTATCTGAGTATCTCGGTGGATTGTGCTTTTTGCTTGGTACTCGACCATTTGGCCTACCGCATGACATTGCAATTTGGTTTTCTGTCCATCACTCTCGCTCATATTCCTTGCATCTGGTCGGTGGAGCCCTACCGGTGGATTGTGCTTTTTGCTTGGTACTCAACCATTTTGTAAATGCCCCTGCCGGTCGATGACAATTTCTCTGTTTGCCCTGGTAGCGGCTCAAAGCCTGAGGCCTTTCCCTGAGCTGGCACATTTCTGCAAATACCCCTAAAAGTACCGGGCATCTCTTCTGTTTGCCCCTCTACATGTATGACGCCCACTGAGCCCATTCCCTGGGCTGGGGCAGCCCGTAGTGGAACCAAACACAAACGGCCATCTATGCCTCCTGCCCCTGCGCCCAGACCCAGTTGGATGACACATTTCTCTGGGTGGGACTGGCGCAATCTCTCTCTCTCTCTCTCTCTCTCTCTCTCTCTCTCTCTCTCTCTCTCTCTCTCTCTCTCTCTCTCTC